CAGTTCAGTTTTAAGGGCCAAATCGTAACATAAAAAGGTCAAGCCCTTATCAACCCTACTACTATGCGATGTTCTAATTCCGATGGTATGTAACTATGCAAAGTGTTGTATAAAAAGTTTATTATTATCATCATCATGATAATACGATGAATGTTGTTGCAGATAGTCTTGAGCTGCAGAAAAACCTTCCCTCTCACGTTAAGAGAAGTGAATGGACTCACCTGTGTTTGCAGAAATACAGAGGAACACTGTAAACCAGCTGAGCAGCATCATGTTACAGCAATGAAGGCAGATGCTGTTTCTTACATGTATATACACGGTGACAACAGTTGCTTCCTGTGCTGCGAGATGTGGTGTGATAGCGTGCAACCTGTGAATGTAAAACCATTTGATTTCATTCTTCTTCCCGTCATGGCCCCGAAACAGAGATGTGACCTTTAACTTGTAGGACAGACAAGAAGGTTATGATGTTGAAAACTAAATGATGAAATCATGTGTGGTTGTGGGAAAATGTAAATGCTAAAGAACTCATTGGGTTCAAAATGTTACACTTTATATATTATGTTAACATTTGATTGCTGGTGTTTAAGTTAGATACTGATATTTTGTGTTTTTTACTCACCTCTTTGCTGCTCTAACATAAATTAGAAAAAAAATAATTATCTTGAAAACATGTCATAGGTTTAGGATGATAGATTACAATTGTTCACCTCTCAATAAATAATGACATAGTTTTAATAAATGTTCTGGTAAGTGCACCCAAGTGCAGACATATGCAAAAAAAGGAAAAGGCTGAGCAAAATATTTCATCAGAATATGAACTGGTAAACAATCAGAGGGCAGGTGATCCAAAACTGAAACTCTAAAAGAAGAGGATGGACTAAACAGAACCAAAGAAAGAACAAAAACAAAGAACTCAAAGACAAATCAAAAAATCAAAAAACCCAAATGCAAGTGGGTTCTGACTCCACAACATAAATCAAAAGCCAAAATACAACAAGTCTCAAACTTCACAACCATGGAAGATGCATGTCACTAACAAGATCATTTTCTTATCTTTATCTCATTGTACTTTGTATAAACAGTAGAACAATAAGGCTCAATTTGAAGTAAGTGGTTAAATAAAAGTAAAAGCAAAGAGAAATCCCTGTGATGTTTGCATGAATAACATACCAAATTGAATTAAATATGTGGAAATACATGTAACATGTCGTATAAACCTCTATGTGGAAAACAACCTCATCTCAAATTGGAGTTACTGGCTTGGCTTGAAGCTCTCATAGTCTTGCACTCTCTCTTTAACACTTTCCATGACTCTTCTTGATGATATGTTCACATGCTGAAGTTTATGACTGCTTTAAAGCGGGACCACTAAAGCAGGGCCGCTACTGCTGGAGGTGATGTATCAAACTTATTCTGAAATCAAATCTACCCTGCTATAAATACATTTTCATGTAGCTCACTTTTGCTCTCATGGCCAAACATGTTGTAATAAGATTTGTCCAGCAGATGGCAGGCTTGAGTGAAGTTTAAGCTACTTCTTGTTCAATGTGCATCAAAGTGATGTGAGATCAAAATATATCATTTTATTTACCAACATTACAAGACGATCAAAGGAAGATAAGAGAAAATCAATCTGAAATTTGAATGGGAGAAACATCAATGAGATGTTTGATCCAAATTTAAAGCCGAATAAAAAGTATCACAAAAAACTGATACTATTAATTACACACAGTGTGTTTTAAGAACTGTGATAGTGCTGCACAACTTTAATTAACAGAGATAACAAAAGCCTGGAATAGAGGAAAAGGAACTGTGTACAAGAATTGTAAGCAGCGATGAGACACATTTTCCACATAGACAAGGCAAAGAGAAAAGAGGAACAAGGATGATTATAATCTCTCTAACAGCGGAATGAGGAAGTCGAAAAGATCTGTACAATAGCAGGCTATTCTCTTATCGAAGTAGCTGATCAGGGAGGAGAAAAGATTTACAGGTCTATGTAACAAAACAGGATACCACAAACTGAGGGACAAGAAGTTATTACTGAAAAACACAGACTTACACAGCCTTCATGTTTCCCACTTGTTTACCTGAAATGGAATACCTGAAATCTAATCTAGATGAGCGTGCGAAAGAAATAACAAATGCACCACCAACACACTCGCATTTTTCCGTTCAGTGTTTATTTAAGTCACATTAAAAGATCATACTTCACACAGTTCATGAACTTCATGTTTATCAAAGGAAAAGTGCACGGTCCTATCATAGCTTTTATTTTTATCCTGACACACATGTTTTTATTTAAATTGCCAGAATGTGAAAATTGAAGCGATATTCAAAGTTCATACGGGTCTTGTTTTTCTCTCCTACAAGTTAACAATTGACCCAAAGAATCACAGGTCACAGGTTGTTAAGTTTACTGGTTGCACCTTATCTTAAGTCACATGAAAAATGAAACTGAATACCTGTCTGAGAGGGTGAAGCTAAGCTGCCAATTACTGCCAAACATAACACGAGCAGTTATCACAGTTAGTCAAACAAATACATTGTTTACAATCCCACAGTAGCCAGAGAGTGAAATCATGTGACTTCTGGTACAACTGGTCTTTTAGTGTGGTACTTTCTCAGTGGCTAGAATGAGGATATGAAATTTGCAAGGGTTGAATTTTCTCATACACATGCAAATAAAATCAGACAGACCTAAGACCCCAAAACTTGTTATACATTTCTATATAAAGTTATATGCTACATATTTTTAAATGTCATGGAAATATAAATCTGAAAATATGTAATTTAAGAGTAATCATTTCTTGTGATTTACCTGAATTTATATCATACTCTGCCTCCTACTCGATCTACCCAGACAACACCCCTCGCCTGATTGTCCTGCACATTATCCTGTTCTTATAAATGCTTCTGACTCAGAGATCCTCCCACTGCATTCTTCATATGTGAAATACAAATTCCTTTTCTGAAGTTTAGGTCTGAAAACAGCCTTACAAACACAGTGTTATTTTTTCATCTGATTTGTTACATTTGCTTTCATTAAGAAAGAAATATGGTATAACACACACACACACATTGAGTCATGTGGATAATAAAAGCAAAAGTCAAAATGTGTGCCATCATAACAGAAAGTTACATTAGTTTCATTTTGACAGAATACACACACACGCACATCTCTCTATAGTTGTGAGGGCACTTGTTGATATAATGAATTCCCTAGCCACTTATCCTATCCTTAACCATCTCAACTAAATGCCTAACCCTGACCTTTACCTAAAAGGTGCATTGTGTCACCGACCAGCACTGACCCAGATGTCCAACAACCTCACATTATGATATTGCTCTTTTTACCTGACATTTGCACTCCTGTATTAGATTCAGACTTGATTTTCAAAGTGTTATAGGAGATAATGGGTAAATGAAGATGTGCTTTGATGAATCACAGTAATGATACAAGTTATCTCTGGTTATATTGTTCAGTGAGCACACAAGGAAGTGATGATTTCAGAAGCTGACAGTAAGTTATGTGAACATGAAGTGTTTCCTGCAGAGAGAGAGAGAAACTAAATTACTGCTAATACACACACACAAATATGCAACTGAAACTGGGGGGTGGATGCAGGAGGTTTCTCAATCAGGAGCCAGAATTCACACAGAGAGGTCAATATCATTGAATATATTCTGACAGAAATTGTTCATTGTGTTCTTGGAAAAAGCTTATGTAACCCTGAATAAGACCCTAAATCTGGCTTCTGTCAGATCGAAGTCGACGAGGCTGACAAGCCAAAGACCACCTTCGTATTCCAACTTGGTTTCTGGGAGTTTAATCGCATGCCGCAGGGAGTGACAAACACCCCAAGTACCTTCCAGAGACTGAAGTCTGTTCTCTGCTGACCTCTTTTTATTTAGGGCTCCGTTGTCGTACCTAGAGTTTTCTGATGTTAGCCCAGCTTTAATTCATAGTTAAGTAAATCAGTTATCAGTACACTTACCTGGAGAAACGGGTTACACTTAGAAAATATAAATCCTTAACAAATTGACATTTTTACTCTTTGTAAGTAACCAAACACTTGACACTTCAGGGGCCAATGACATTTCAGCTAGGGCCTGTCTCTCCCCGTGGCCCCGTTCCCTGGCCCTGCCCCTGGGTGAAACTAATTTGACAGTGCTGCAGTTACCTCACATCTGGAAGCTGTTGTCGATTGTATCCAGACCTGTAAAAGTGAAAGTGAAAGCATGAATTAGATCTTAAGGAATGCATGTGAGAACTGTTCTAAAACAAAGCTGAGTCAAAATACTGTCATTGAGACGTACCCTCCTCCTCGCCTGGATCGCTTCTCAAATGGCCACCTGGAAAAAAAAAATTACAATGACTGGAGCATTCAAATACTGCTGATGAGTGGCTGAGCCCAGGTTTCCACAATCCCCAGCACAGTTTGATTCCCCGTGATAAGCAACGTAAGAGAGAGCTGTTCAACCTGTCCGTGCACACTCTCTTAACAATGTCACTGTTGTTGGCTCGTGGACAGGTTGGGTTGCTGGTGGCTCTGCACTGCGTGAAGAGTGCGTGAATGAAGCTCCCCCACAGATCACATAGGAAACTATGATGACTGTGATGTTTCTCTGTATCATAGTCTGCCATGCCATATTTCTTAACTAAAGTTTTTCACTGAACTTTGATGTGTTTTTCTCACTGTAAGCAAATGAGACATACAGATCATGATACAGAGTGCGCTGCCAGACTGCCAGCTTTGAGTCTAGACAGTGACGAACATGTGTGTGAGTATAAGCTCGAAAGAACTAGGAGTGAGATCGGAAACTGTGGTGCGTGTGTGAGTTTTATTTCATGTTGTTTCAAGTGTTATGTCTAGAGGAAGTGACCGACCCACGTGTTCTCTATGTTCACCACTCAAAAAAAAGCTTCCTTTTAATAGCGATGAAAGTACCTTAATCTTAGTTAGTTTTAACTCAGATAAATCATCAAACGTCAGCAATTAATCTGTCAATCTGACGGAGTATAAGGGCCTCTTATAGAGAATAAAGTCATAATTTTAAAAGAATAAAATCCTAATATTACAAGAATAAAGTCATAATTTTATGAGAATAAAATCATAGTTTTAGGCAACGTGTCATTTTAGAGTGATATTATATCAGAAGAACAGACTGATGCATCTTGTTGAGGTATACTATAATATGGGTTACTTTATATTATATTACATTAAATAATGAAATACTTAATCTTTTGGCTCATCAGCTCCACATTATCAAATTTTTCTTCTTTCTTCTTGTCTTTATTTATTATGGCCCAAATACTTTGTCATAGTCAACACAGCAGAAGCTGATGTTCAGTTTCAAGCAGACAGAAACTTTATAAATCTATACACACACGGTCAGAAAGCCCTGTGTTTCTAAACATGGACGTACCCAAAATGGCTGCTTTGGATTGTCTCCGAGCATCTGTCAAGAAAATGGTCCAATAATTAACAGTTGCTACACCCCCCCTATTATTTTTTCTCCTTTCTTGGGTTGTATCTGTAGAGAAATCATATTTCGGTTTCATGTGTGCCGAGTATATATCATGGAAGTGACAATAAATCTGATTCTAATTTCTATGATGTGTAATAAATTAAATGTAGTTTGTTAGAAACACCAAGTAGCAACAACTGTAGATTTTAATTGTACTTTCATGTGTGAAGTCATTACTCAAAAAGATCGGAATGATTCCTTTTGAACAGAACTCATAAGAGTGCTTGTGTAGGTACTCACTCTGACGTCGGCGTCGAAGAAACAGCAGGGCCACCAACAATCCAACGATCAGTGATCCAATAACCACCACAGGAGCGATGATTTTGGAGGCTGCATCAAACTCTTTCTCTCGTCCTTGGGCTGCATGAGTTCAAATAAAAGTTTTTTCATGCTCTAATACATAAAGTGAGTCACAATTGCATGAACTGGTGTGAATATCCATCTGAAAATATTTACTTTTATTTTTATCCCAGAGGGGTCTGCAAAGTTTGGACATGGGGTCAGATTTCAAAGACTTGCCCAGTCAAGCACAGTGTTGTTTCTTTGTCAGGTAAATTAAATTAACTTTTGATGACGATTAGATTAACAGATGTGTTTCAGCATGTCTGTTCTGTGAAGAGCGTTTGAAAAACAGCACAATGAGGGTTGGCTCCAGTTATGGATAAAATCAACAGACTTCAGCTAAGAGGAGGAAGAACATTGTTCAACTAAACCCTCTGCTGTTTTTTTGGTGGTTTGATTTTTACAGGATATGTGTGAATTTCCTGGTCTTTCAAATCCCTTTTGGTTTCTGTTGGAAAACTGGGGCTATGTGGGAGTCCAACCACACAAAATATATTAGAAGTGGCTTGTGTTTCAAGTTCCTGTCAGTTGTGCAATCCTAAACAATGCTTTGCTTATGTAATAGTGATGACATCTGTGTCGCTTCAAATTTCAGTTAAAACAGGGCCTTAGGTGCTACTATGGCTGATATGGCTTTTGTGTGCAGCGCATGGTGTAAACGGTGTGTGGTGGATAGTGCTGGGAAAAACTTACTTCCTAGGCTTGGTATGTCTTCTACTACAAATATGGCCTCTGCCTCTCTGCTGCCACTGGCACTATACACCGCACAGGTATACTTGGAGAAAATGGATCCTCGCAGCAGAGGCAGCTTGCTGGACAGGTGAAACAGACCCCTCTTGTCTAATTTTTCCTCCATTTTAGAGACTTCGGTCCACTCCGTGTCATGCTCCACAATCCAGCGAATCTCCCCTTTTGGGTAGCCACCGTGCGATTCACATGTCAGGACGCCATCTCTTTTTACGGTAATCTCTTTAGGGTCGGAGCGTATAGTTGGTTTACTGTATTTGGCTGCAAAAAGAAAAAGGGGAGGCACAAGTGGTCGTTCAGCTGAACATATAAATAGACGGGCAGGATCCAACAGCAGTGATTATTTGTCACAGTGAAAGCGAAAATAAGGAAACACACCAATTGACAGTGCTTAGCTGCAAGGAAAGTCCCTCAAACTCCCAACAATCAACAGAAAATTAAATCTTTCAAAAAGTAAATTGTCTACGTAACAAATTAGTTTACAGAAAAAGAAAACTACTTTACACAGGATAAAGCTTCGAAATGAGTTAGATGCATCTGTGCCAAAGAGTTGTAAAAAATGTTTCAGCCATCAGCCACAGCCGGAGTCTCTAACCTGTGACTTTGAGGTTGATGTCCCCCACAGCATCGCCACTGTTCGTTATCACCATGCACGTGTAAGCTCCAGCATTTTCCATCGTAGTGTTGGCGATGAGCAGGGACACGTTCGTGTGCTTCTTGTTCAAGGGCGGCTCAGCAAGTTGGTAGTCTGGATTCGTATTAACTTTCCCTTGTTTAAAAAACATTAAGGGCCCCTCCAACCCCTCTTTCCTCCAAGAGATGGCTTTGATTCCTGCATCTGTTGCCCCGTTGGCAGCTTGGACCCAACACTCCAGCAGTGACTGCTGGCCATACTGTCCAACGCTTTCAGTCTTGCATTGCACGGTAAAAAGAACTGGAGAAGAAAAAGGGTCAGGATGAAGATAATATCAGCACCGAGGAGCATTTCACATTTGAAATGCACAGATAATGTTAAATCTTACCTTCCTTTGCTCTGACACATATGACAGTGAAAATAAAGAAGAGGATACCAATGGGGGCCATGTTCATTTACCTGCAATGACAGTTAAAATAAACTCATTTTATTCAAATGTAACACTCACATACACATTTGAAATCACAGGGATCTGTTTTTGTGAATCAAACTGCAAGTTGTTTTTTTATCTGGGCAGCATCTCCACAAAGTCTAACCACTAAAATTGCATATGATTCTACTCAGTCACAATAATGATAAATATTAGATCTTAGAACTTCTATAGGATTCATCTACCTAATATTTCCAGAAATCTCTGTCTGTCTGTATGTGTCTCACATACCTGGAGATCCATGTGGCATGTGCATGCATAGCATTGGTCATGCTCTACGTTTAATTTCAATCAAATTTCAATAAACAGACCATCGCCTATCGGGGGCAGCAGCGGTTGGGACTCGTCAGTGTAAGTGAAGTTGGTCTTTACTTGCGTCAGCTTAGTTACTGCAGGTCACTTCTACAGTTTCAGAAGGAATTCAGCAGCCAGCATCACCACCGGCCAAACAGCCCATTCCAAACAGGCCTTTTTAGAACGGGCACTGCAGTTGAAAAAATATTTAGTGGCCCAATTAAGCACCAGTGGAAGGAGATGGACATTGTCCAATGTTTGCGAGTATAACTGTCTCCAACTTACCACACTTGCACTGCGAAAAACTAAGGAAGAGCTTTATAGCTCAGGCTTGTTCTGCATCAGTGTTGTAACAAGATCAATTCTGGTACCTGTGGATCTGTTGTGTGTAGATGTGGTTTTACAGTGCACATCATTCATATTAGGGACTGACGATGGATCCCATAACTGCCCCATGTGACTGTATGTGAATTTCATGAGTCAGCAGGAGAAGCTTTCAGCTGATGTTCATGATAGATACTAATTATGGAACAATCCCTTTTATGCCATTGCTTCCAAACACAATCTGATTTTACAACAAACGTCTCCTGGTTTATAAAAGTATGATAAAAAGAAAAAAATGGATAAAATGGTTTTGTGTGACTCAGATTCACTGTGAGTTGACTAAGGTCTCTACTACAAAGCAGGATTTGTGGTTGGCGAGGTAACTTCCGGTTTAATGGTGGCTCAGTTCTTACCGGGTAACATTGCCATGGTAACTCATGCTGCATCTCTAACCTGCTACAGAGGAGGTTTGTGACCCAAGTTATTCAGGAAGACGATGTTAGGCTCAGTGATGCCAGATAACAAGATGATATCTTGGGTGCGTTAAATATACTGGAATCACATGCTGCAGGACGAGATGTGTCGAAACATGTCCCTGAACAACTAGAGACTAACCGTCAGTCATAATCTTGACACTCCTGCATTTAGATTTTCCAGCTGAACTGGTCAACAAGTTTACTAAGTCAAGTGATTAGTGTTTATTGGTGAGATGGGAAATTCCAAAATTCCATTGACTCCAGTGATATTGTGAAAAACTGGGGTCCCACAGGATTTCACTGTCTATCTTCTCTCTTTTTGGCTACAACGTAAACATGGTCCGGGCTGTACACTTCCCATCTGGATCCTGTTCTCTAGTGGGAATGTGCCGTGGGATTCTCTTTCACATTGTTTCAAAGCTTAGCATCTGTTGGGCTGTGCTGTTGGAGGAACTTGGCAGTTGACATTACAGCCTAAGCAGAACTCCCATATGGTCATTTAAAAATCCTCTTCTCATACATCCGATTTCTTTGATACTTTGATTGATTGATTTTTTTCTACACTGAACACCCACACAGCGCTGATGACATTCCGAGGAGCCGAGGCCCGACTTGTCGGCTGATTTCCTTTTCACTGTTGAAAAGTATCTGTCCATTTTGCCTCTCTTCTTCTGTCTCTGTCTCTCTCTCTCTGTCTCTCTCTCTCCCTCTCTCTCTCTCTGTCTCTTTCTCTCCCTCTCTCTGTCTCTCTCTCTCTCTCTCTCTCGGTCTAGCGCGTGCCACACAGTTTGTGAATGGCTGCCTTAATCACAAACGCACTCTGTATGTCTGACATGTCGTAAGGAGTCCTTTGGAGTTCAGTGTCTTACATAAGGACACCTGGCTTATGGCACACTGACTGTGTTGTGGTTAGAAATCAAGTTCCAATCGTGGTCCAAAAGTGCAAAAACTTCAGTCCAATAAAAGGCAGTTTTTCTTACTCTTGACACCATTATATCTGTCCAAACCGTTTACTGTTTTTTACAAGATATTTGTCTCTGATTTGACACCATTATATTTCATTTTGTCAGACTGCCTTTTTTTAAAAAGATTAACATTTCTTCACACAAGATATACATACACTACATACTGATTGTTACACATAGAGTATAATATTTGATTCGTCATTGCTGCGTTAAACTTGTTGTAATCATCAGTAATTATGTTTCTCCTTATACTTCAGCACACATTAGATTGTAGTGCAGATTAAAGGTATATAGTGACGTTCATATTGTGACATTGTATAGTGACCAGAAATTACACTACAACTGCTCAAGAAAGTATATCCACAGTTAAATGAGCCATTGCTCTTGTCTGAACCACTTCAAGTCTCCGTCATCGTAACTCAACTCTCCACGCGCCCACACTTCCTCCCACTTAATTGCAAGATACATAGACATAAATAGTCTAGAAACTAACTGCACACAAACAAATGTCAGACTTGCAATTGCTCTTCAACTATTAACAATTATTAATGCTTTGTTGGTGAACGTACTCTGTATATAGAACTGGTTCAGTTCACTATAAATGAAAGCCTAAAAATATGCTGTTGTCTAACTGTGATATTATCAAGACTTCTGCTGCAACTTCAGCAAAACAATCTAGTTATTATTTCAGGACACACAGACTCCCTGTGCCTCATTTATTGCAAGTGAAACTTAAATGTGACCTATTTATACTTTGTGGAAGTTAACTTAGTCCCTCGATCATTGAGAAAAGTTAAATGTATGTTAGTTAAGTCGATCCTGAGTGAAAGTTGTGGTTGCTTCTTTATAGGTAGAGATGACAAACACTGTCACCCTGCATTTTCCTCCAAATATTTTTTATTTTAACCAGATAAATAAACTGCGCATACACAATAAGCAATATATATAATTAACCTTTGTTATATTGCTACTGATGAACATGATATGAAATGAATGATTATTTGTCCGAACCTAAGTTCAACCACATCACTGCGAGAGATTCCCTTTAAGTTTGAAGTGTGTGAAACAGTGTCAGGCTGGATTTGCTCAGGACAAATTCAACTCTGCACTGTCCGGCAAACCACAACTCAAAAGCTGGAGATTACAAACCCCCGACATCTCCGGGGAAATTATGAAAACCACTCATAGACAGTGTTTACATGGCATGCACACACCGACTGACGAGAAACACATGGTCCACTTCAGCGTTCACTACACTGTCCATGCAGCGTGTGTCCCGAGAAGTGGTCAATCTATGTAAGAGATGACTGTAAACCTATCACACAATAATACAACAATAAAAAGACTTACAGTACACGCTCCTCCACAGACAGACACGCACACATCCGAAGTTTACATCGACACTGACGCTGGCAAAACTTACTTTCACTTTCATCATGAGTCAGGAAGACGAGGCAGCTGCTGATTATAGAGTAAAGGTTAGAACAAGGGTCGGGCTTCTTTGTTGAAGATTTAAATTTAGATTCAACATTTAAACAATAAGATTAAGATTTAAAGGTTCAGTATGTAGAATTTAGTGACATCCAGTGGTGAAGTTACAAGTTGCAGCTGAATACCCCTCACCTCACCCTCACCTTCCAAACATGAAAGAGAACCTGTGGTAGACTCCAGCTGGACTACTGTAAAAAACATGGTGAGGACCCGCTCCGATGTTAATGTAAAGTATTTAAAAATCTAGGGTAACAACAATAACAATTCGTACAATTTAGATGAAACACACTAGTGAAATAATTAATAATTTATCCTTTAATGTCTGCCAATAGATCATTTTCACCTAAATCTTACACACTGAACATTAACAAATATTTTTCACATTTAGATGTAACGGTTAACATTGAGAATCAAGATTTGGCTTTTGCATTTACGCTTAAATTTGATTTTTATATTATCTTTAATTACTTTCTGAGAAAAAGAAGTAAATATGACAAAGTTAGCAAATATTGCTATTTTTACTTTGAAAGCACAGCACTATTAAATCAGCATGTGCAGCTTCACAATCGGTGCCCTACACCACTGAACCAGGTGTCTTGCTGGAACGAGGTTGACAGTTTTTTAGCCCTTTTGAGATGTGTGATAAAACAATGGTTTGATCCACATATAGGATAAAAATAAACATTAAATATAAAAATAAAATAAACACCACTCATCCTGGTTAAACCTGTCTTGTACCACATTTGTGTTACATCCAGATTAATGTTGGAGACTGCATTCCCTCATGTGCCTGTGACCAATGACCCCTTGCTTCCTCTTTACCCTATCCTACAGCAGACCTCAGGACTGGACTCTGGACTTCCTGCAACACTATAAAAACAGTGAAAAGTTTGTTTGCTCAAATCCATCCTCCTGTTTATACTGGCCATTACAAGAGCCCTCCCTAATGCACATGATGACGCACATTGTTTTATAAAACACTTATCTGAATCCTCCTAAGTTCAATCAGCTCTACATATACTCATGCAATTATTCAGATAAAGCACGGATACAGCACATGGTCAAGATTGATTTTTAATGTTAATTTCCACTTGTGCCATTTCTCAAATTCAAATTTCTGCAATGACTTAAATCGAGCAACAGGAATTGGTAGGATGCTAACAGATGTGTCTTGCATCATCACACACATTAAAAAATAGTAGACACCACAGGAAATACACTTCATGTACCTGAAATGTGTTTTTTTTGTTGCACGACAGCTGGCTGACAGCAGTCACACACGCACGCACACACACACATGTAGACTCCACAAGAGAAAAGTAAGGAGGAGTTTGAATTTGGTTTGAGTGATGCGACATGAAATATACAAAAAGACTATTCTGTATTCTTTCAGGGTTGTTGGCAAATGTAAAAGGGGGTAAAACAAAAAAGCTGAGCTGTCATAAGGTCACTTGTCAAATCTAGGATGGGTCACAACCCACAACATTCCATTGACTCGCGATGGAAAAAAACAAGGTTGTGGTGATACTGGTAGGATGCTGTATGAGGAAACCCAGTCTTGTTTGATGTTTGTAGCCTAACACACAAACAGGCACACTTTATTTGAGAGTCAATTTCACCCCTAAAAACACGGGGCACTCAAAACCGGCACTGGGGTTACAATAGTCTAAGGTTAGTGAGTGACTACTATATAAAAAAGGCTTATTCCAATTCTGTTACCTGACGTGGGACCTACAGTACTCATCTGAAGACAAATGTTTGCATCCTTCAGGTCACAATGACACTAATTTATGTGGCTCATATTTGGCTCCTATGTGGATATTAATACTATAATCAGTAGAAAGATTCCAACTTCATGCAACAACAATACAACAACTATTCCACAAAGAAACAACTAACAAAGTTGAATTATATAAAAAAAAAAATCTTCACAGTTATGTTTCATCTCACATTCATACATCACAGACCAGATGTGCATGCACAATGGGTCAAAACTGAACACAGTGCAAAAGTGACAGCTTTATCTTTGCTTGTGTTCTAGAAACTGCTTGTATCATCACCTACAGCTTGTGCTGTTGCAATAAAATTAAGGGAAGGGGGGGTTTACCACTGGTTGATATGAGAGGTGTGGACCTTCTATTCTTTCTGACAGGTGTAATGCATTAGAGGGACAAAAGGCAGATGCTGAACCATATACATAGAAATACATAAAGTGCTTCTGTCAAAAATAAACAAACAATAAAAACAGTACAAAACGGTTTCCAAAAAAGAGGTATCAAAACAATGCACTTGAGGATGTGGAGGGCACTGGTGCCTCTTGGGATTTTCTGTGGCACTGACAGATGAGCTGGGGTTCCTTGTTTGAAAACAAACAAAAAAATAAGATAAAAGGATGAGTTCAGAGACACATGGAGGTAAAGAGGGGCAGTTGGCGGGGATTCAACCCAGGATGAGGCTGGACTTGCCCCCAGGGGGATTCCTGCGGCCAGACGCTAATCCTGCGGTGGGCTCCTCAGCTGGAGGAGCCTCCTCCTGGTGTTCTGGAGCTGCTTCAGGCTCAGCTGGAAAGTTGTCTGAACACAGGCAGAGAGACCAGAGACATTTGATGACAAACAAGAGAATGGTTTGCCTGGGATGTGCCAGTTACCCTCAGTCTTTTCACCACTCACTCATGTACTGTATTCAGCCATTAAATCAATGTTAAATACCCTTCTCCAACATTCGCTTCCTAAAACAGAAACATAAAACTGCTTCTAACTTTCTCATGAGCTAAATTGGTGGGCCACCTTGATATAGACAGCAAAACGAAAAGTGATATTATATTTGTCAACCTGCTGTTTTAAAATTAAGGAGTAATAATACAAGTAAATAAGTCATACATTTATGAGAAAAAAAGTCAATACTTAAGGCTACGTGTAATTTTAGAGGCGTATCAGAGGATCTGCTGGTCTCCTGCATTAATATTAACATATTATAGATTTCAAAAAACAATAAAGTCAAGAATCCTTTGGCTCATCAACTCATATGACTAATAGAAACTGTCTCTATTCTGAAGAAGGAACAACACAGACGTGGAGGAAGTCTGTGTTGTGGAGGAGGAAACAGTCAACTGCTGACATTTCAAGGTTATGTCATAACTTAATAATAATAATAAAAAAAACTGTGATTGGTAATTGAATCCAAAAGAAAATGTTGTTCTGTATTCACGTAATATCGTGACTTTTTCCTCATTAAAATACAACTTATTCTTGTACGACTTTCTTGAAATCTCTGCTTATGGCCTTGATACTCAATCATACCCTCTGCAGGTGCTGTACACATCAAGTTAAAACAAAACTACTGTGCATCAATCTGTCAGCAGGTAGACTGCAGGTGACGCAGCAGCTCTCCCTGCATCTGTTTAACTGGGGTGATGGGAGCAGAACTAACAGGTGCTTACCATGATCACGCACAGGGTTTTCTGCATCCTAAAAAAAACAAGGTGAAGAGATCACTGTTTCAACAGCATTCATAAGAAATTCTGTACTGTCACAAGTCTACATGAAAAAGAAAAGTATCAGTAGGTATTGTTGAGGAATAACTTGAAGTTTCTGCACAGCCACATGAGTTATTAGTTACTGATAATATCTGGTCAGGTTGAAAATAGAAGGAACTTTGGTGAGAATTTATGATGTTTCAAAAATCTAGGTACCAATAAGAATAATGACGAATAAAAGGTTACCACATCCAAACAGACTAAATTAACAGGAGCGAGGAGCTGTCACTCAAACTCATTTGTCCAAGCCTTCACAGGAGCAGTGTTTGTTGTCAGGACAGGTCATTTAGTCCTGTTCCTTTGTTACTAATACAAAGCTTCCCTCCTCGTGTGAGACATTAAGAATTGGAAAAATGGATCACTTAATTTTACTTTCAGTGGCTTCCCTTTCTGTCTGACCTCAGCTTGTACTAAATAGCTTACTAAAACTCGTGATCTGGAGCATAATCTTACTGTGGTGCTGGCGTCTGCTGAGTGGTTTGTGCCGTTGTTCCCTCCTCTCCTCAGGGGAGCTGAGGGCTCACCACACAGCACCCCTGTGGGCTTTCCTCCTGAAGAACAAGGAGACAGAATGTTTCAGATCATTGAGGCTTCAGACTTTTTCAAAGAGACAAATAACATGGTGATATACAGTCTGTCAGATAATGGCAACATCGTCACAACTAGGGATGCACCGCTCCAATAATTATATCTGATATTCAATAGCTGGATCGGGTATCAGTGACAAGAGGGCAGAATTATGGGTTTATCTATTCAGTTCAGTTTTATGCAAACATCTCTGTCTTAGAACTACATTGTGTGACAGTAGACCCCCACACATACAGGTTCACAAGCAAAACTTCAACCTGGAGCAGTGTGAAAAACATATGAAGGCAGTCAACCAAGCCAGTCTCTGACACTGTCGTCGTTACTGTGGTGATTCAATTCCCACCAGTAAATGGGCAGAATCATTAGCAAAGCATTCGTTTGAAGCAGGAGCAGACCAGCACAGGCAATTACAAATGCTCAACAAATATTCAGCAGACCACAAACCTGTATAACCTCCGGTGTAAAGCTGGTTACTATTAGCATCAACTCTTAACTTCATTCTTACTGAACTGAAATACTTTTTGGGTTGTTGGTGAAGAAAAGCTTTGAAAACTCTTCACCTGTGGACCATTGTTCATTTCAATTGTAAATAGTAAACGGTCTATAATCACACTTTTCTAGTATTGATGAAGTGGAACAGTTTTGCCATCCACCCATTCACACACACATTCATACAGTGAACCTACGCAGTGCCCTTTCTCCACCACATGCCACAAAGTCATAGCCGATAAACCCGTCAAGGGTGGTTTGGTTTCTAGCTTTTTCTAGCTTGACTGCATAATGATGCTTGATGCAATGTCGGGAGATAAAG